GCTATGTTGGGTGAGGCTTGGTCACAGTTTGCCTTCTCTCTTTATTCAGTCTTCTTTCCTGCCCTTTCTTTTCACTGCTGCTAATCCCTATTAAACATCTTGCGCCCAGATTTGTCTCATCATCTACTTGCAAAGAAACCAACCTGGTATAGGCTACATGCTTTGGCAGCAGATGAAATTTGCTAACTAGGTCACTTGGAGGAAGTTACTTCACTCTGTTGCACCTCCATCTCTTCTTCAGTAAAATGGAAATAACAACATTTGCCTCTCAGGGTCATGTGAGGTTAAATAAAATCAAGTGTGTAATTACTTGGCACGGTGCTTGGTGTTTTAGAGTGTATAACGTTTAAGAGAGAAGCTCTCTCAGAAACGGCAACTTCCCATGCCGACACAGCTTTGTGAGTTCTCTGTTGAGAAGGAGCTGAGTGTTCAGTTTTCTGGCCACTGTGTTGATAACAACGGCGAATTCTTACATAGCAGACACAGTGAGCCAAACACTTTTCAAGTGTCTTGCATATACTAACTCATTTAACCCACAAACAACTTGATCAGGAAGGTTCCTAATCCCATTTTACAGATGAGGAAACTGAGGCACAGAGGTTCTCAAACTGGTTCACAGGTCTCAAAAGTTGCAAGTAGCAGAGCTGGGCTTCAAATCCAGGAACCTGACACCAGAATCTGTGTCAGGTGCTCATGCCCAGTATAGTACATGGCCTCTTGGGTCAACTTTATCCTAGAAAGAGCTTGATGCAGAATAAGGCAATCTTGCCGCTAACCTCCTACTTCCTCATGACACCCTTCCAGAACTAGTTTTTCTGAATGGGAAATAAAAAGAAGATGAGGAAGATGTCACCTGCCTGCAGATAGTCTGAGGTTCACTAATCCTCTGTGAAGCCTTGAGACAGGGAGAATCCAAAATCTGTGTCTTCCTGGGATTTAGGCCCCAACCAAACGGAACCTCCCTGGCAGAAGGTATGAGAGTAGGAATGAGAGACACTGACAATGGCAGTTTCCTTGTGAAATTTCGGGCATTTGCAAATAATCAACTCAGCCTTTCCAACAAGTCTTTATTTTGCTTAAATTAACAAAACATAGGTTACATGCTATTTTCAGGTAAACTGCTTTATCACTGAAGCAGAAAGCGATATTCACAACTTGGGTTGCTACACATTTGGAGTTTTAGTTTTTAAATAGCAAGCCAGAATTCTGTACAAAATCAACATTTGGTGTAATGTTGTCCAAATATGTGAAGGATTTTAAATGTTAGCTCTGTTACATTTTGTTCCAGCAAAGCAGACAAAGATCATGATTCAAAACGCGATGTTAATATTTTATTAAATGCCTTTAGGGCTTAATAAATACTGTATGCACATTGGGCTTTCTCATGCAGCTACTCATATACAAATATACCAGATACCCTTGTGGGGTTATGGAAGGTCAGCCTCAGTCTCATGGCCAATAGGGAGTCAAATTTTTAAAAAGAAAGAATGAAAGAGGAATTAGAAGGCAAACAGAGGGGGGTAATTATAGGCCTGAATAAAAAGGATAAAAGAAAAATATGCCTCTTGGCTGGTCAGTTGGCTGTTTCAGAGTGACAACGGTCAAAAGCCTGGAAAGCATTTGGTAGTGACCTATTTTCAGAGTGTCACAAGGAGATGAATGCCATGCTGTCCTGGCCCTTAGAGTGCTGGTAACCTTGGATGGTTTTATCCTTAATTCTCTCTAGATGATCCCCATGGGCTCTCCTTCAGGTGTGCATTCTGGCTAATTAGCTCATCAGGTAAGTTTGGCCAACTCTTCCCTTAGCTCTGCACTTAGGCATGGGGTGTCCATATAATTGGTCACCCAAACTGGGATACTTTTTTTTTATTTTATTTGTATTTATTTTGAGAGAGAGCTAGAGAGCAAGTGGGGGAAAGTCAGAGAGAGAGGGAGATAGAAACCCAAGGAGACTGGGCACTGTCAGCACAGAGCCTGATGCGGGCTCCAACTCCCAAACCATGAGATCATGACCTGAGCCAAAATCAAGAGCTCAATGCTTAACTGACTGAGCCACTCAGACACCCTTAGGATCCTATTTATTTTTTAAGTGTACTTGTTTATTGAGAGAGAGAGAGAGAGAGTGAGAGAGAATCCTAAGCAGGCTCTGCACAGTCAATGTGGAGCCTGACTCAGGGCTCAGTCTCATGAACCTCAAAATCATGACCTGAGCCAAAACCACGACTCAGACATTCAACCAACTGAGCCACCCAGGCACCCAAACTGGGATACTTTTGAGAGTTAAAATGACACTCTTAGTAATTACTCTGGGACAAAGCTATAAACCAGGGTTGTTCCAGGTAAACCAGGATGTTGGTCACTCAACAACATACAATACCAAGATTTTGGCCACATTTCTCACAGAGTCAGTGTATATTTACCCTCAGGCTAGATCTAATTAAGTCTCTCATACCCAGAGTTAAGAACTAAAAACAGGCTTTATAATATACTTCATAACACTTTTTAAATTACTTTCCTTAGATATTTTTTTCTCCCTCAAAATGAAATTTTACTTGGAAGGCTAACATGAAAAACAAATGAAATTTGAACCACTTTGAGTGAAGTGGGAATGAGGGCTGAGAGTCTCTCCTTCTTCCCTGGCAGCTCTGGAGGGACCCAAGAGGGACCTCTGACTCCTCGATCCACAATTTGGAAACCTCCATTCTAGACCATGCTCTCTCCATCTCAACATGAACTTGTTCCTCAAACATACCCACATGATTCATTTGGTTGGAAAAGACTAGAGTTTGCTATTCTGGATTTCCTGGTTCCTGTTCCAGCCTGTTCCTGTTCCATACCCAGAATGAACCGGAAGTCTGCAGCCCTTACAGTATGTCTTTGACACAGAGCTACTGAAAGAATGAACATGTAACAGGACCCCAAGAGCCGGAGGTCTCACAGACCATGCTGCCAGCCTTGTGAGTGATGTCATCAGAGGCACTAATGAGCGATATTCAAAATGAACGGAAGGCAAGTTGCCCCTCTGAAGACTTGGAACAGTTTCCTGGCACAGAGCTGTGCTTGCACCACAGAAACCCACACTATTCCACTCACCATCCCCTTTGCAGGTGCTTGACCTCAGGGCATGGGTGGCAGTAGGAACCCCAGACAGCTTTGGCACTTTGTCATGGTGGTGAGGCTGAGAGAAAGAACTTTAAGCAAGGTAGCTGGAGAAATGTGTCAAGATTGACAAAGCCCATGGGTGGATGATTCGAAGTAGATGCGGCTGAGGGGGAAGCACCTTGGCCAAAAGAAAAAGCCACATCCAGCAGTCAGAGATGGGCCAGGTGGTCTAAAGAAATGTACTGGGAACTTTAGGAGAAGAGAAAGCAAAGTAATAAACAGTACCTACCTCTACGAATAAGAGTTGAGACTACCAACCAAGAGGCAGTTTTTACATAAACACAGACACAGTACCAGAGGGTTACTGCTTACGGCTAGTCACAGGTATGCGACATCCTGTAGGCACTGCTTTATTCGGCACCCATGCCTAAGGAAAGCCTACTGCTGGGCTCAAGCCACCCACGGTAGTCTTCACCCCTGACTAGAATCACGATTCAAGCATCTAGGAAGAAATAATTAGTCACTGTAGGTGGGCTGTGTATTTTTAGACTTATTAAGTGACCATAAACATCACAGGCATCATCTTCTAGTACAAAATTGTGTGATTATACAAGAGTACGTGTGTGTGTGTTGTGTGTGTGCATGTGCGTGTTCATGTCAAGAGGCTCTTACAGAACAGGTGAGAAGCCCTAAATCAGCAGGATGATTTCAAGGTCTCCTACTCCATATTTTAATGAATCTGAAGGCAGAAACAAGTATTTATGGAGTCCCTGGGAGGAGTCTTGGGAGCCACCATTTTAACCTCGTCCATCTTTCTCAACCCTGGCTGCACAGAAGAATCCTCTGGGGGAAACTTTTAAACAAATACCCATATTGGGGCTCCACTAGACCAATGAAATCAGACTCTCAGCAGCTGAGGCTCAGCCTTGGTATTATTTTTTAAGGTTCCCCTAGATGATTCTGATATGCAGGCAGCTTTGAGAACACAGCCCAGAATCTGCTTACCAGTAACTACCTGATGGTTAGCATAATACTCTAAATAAGCAGTGATCAGATTTCAAGAATTCCTCCCCACATCCCTGATCTGGCACTGAGAAGAAACCCACTGCGCCTAAGGCTTCCTGCAGCTGCCTTGTGGGGCATGAGGCCTCAGAGCAAGGTCTCCAGGAGGGGGGGTCTGCTCAGGACACAAGGGGTGAGCTGGGACACACTGACCACTTTGGGGACCATCTGAAAATGCGCGCCACAAGCCATACCTGATGACGGAAGCTGCTGCAGAACAAGGCAGACCCAGGCAAGGATCTAAGTTCTGCTGGGTTTTCATTAGTTAAAATTATTCCTGTTTTCTTAAACATGCGGAAACTACTTGAGAATATTCTCTTCAATACCTCACCCTCCTTTGTCATTTTTGGCATTGTGGATGATTCAATAAAGGTGATTTTTATATATACAACTACTAATATTTTCATCTATCTGGAAAAATATTATAACTTCCACACATTCAACTAAATCATCATTAATAAGGTAACATGTCAAGCACCATATTTTTGCAACTAAAAAGAAATCTACCATGTATTATGTATTAGTCAAAGGAAAACAATTTCTAAAAGCACCTCAGCATCTGCTTAGAATTAGGTATCTAGAATATGTACAGCTTATTATACTGGAGGAGCATGAAATAGCACTGAAGAAGCCCCCGCATGCATGTTAAAAATCAAGGGCCCAAGGAATGACCTGAGAAGCATTTGTATTAGTGAGGACAATCCCTGCTCGTTTAGTCCAGGCCATTTGTAAAGATCTGCGCCATTTGCCAGTCTCCGGCAAATGACAGCTCGTGCAGAAAGCTATGTTTGAACTGCCTATTCTCATTTTCCAAATGTAATTTTAGAGCTGTCCACTTAGATACCTAAAAGCACTGCTTGTTTTTCCATTTTCCTCTCCAGTAATTCCTTTAAACTCTCATCTCTGTGCTTGAAGTACAGGTAATCAGAAAAGGAGGGGCCCCTCCGAGCACTCTGCAGAGCCCTGAGACGGAGACACTCTTCCTTGTGGGCAGATTCTCTCTCCAGGCTGCCCTCTGCCCCCAGGCTGTCCTTGCTCCTCTCCTGGTGCTCTCTGTTTGGCTTGTCCTCCTTTTCCTCCTCACAGGTGTCCTCAAGCACCCTGGGAGCCTGCTCGGGCTGGGTGGTGAGATCCTGGGGGGTGCAGGGCTGCCTGGGTTGGGGGTCCAGGCTGGGGCTGTCTCCACCCACTTCATAGCTATTGTCCTCCTCCTCTTCCTCATGGCAGGAGCTGCCCCGGGCACTCTCCCCATCTGACTGGAATGCCGGCCCCTTCACTCCACGCTTCTGGGAAAGGTCAAAGGGCTCTTCCTGCTCCAGACCCCTCAGCACTCCTGCTGTCTGCGCCAGGGCGATTCGCCCCCTTCCAAAACCTGTGAGAGCAAAAGCAATGTTCAGGTCCCAGGAAAAGCTGTGAAAATGGGCCACTGGGTGGTACCCAAGGCCATTTAGTATAGTTTGATTTTACATTTTAAAAATAAATTCCCAGTAAGGCTGTGGAGAGATGGGCCTTGTCACAGATGAAGTTTGCATCCGTGTAACTTCCTTAAGGTAAATTTGGCAACATGCACGAAATGCTTAAAATAAACATAGCTCTGACTTAGCAATTATGCCACTGAGAATTTAAACTATGAAAACAATCAGACAGGTGCACAAAATATATGTGTAAGGATGCTCATCACCACATTTTTTATGGTGAAACTGAAATGATGGAGGTTTTTTAGATAAATAATACACTGAACCATGTGTAGAAGATGTAGAGACCTACAAATGGTTATAAAAAGGTATTCTCTATATATTTTAAGTAAAAATCATATTTACCATATATATTTATAGTGTAGACCCAATTTTATCTATCTTTATCAAAATATCTGGAAGAATTTACATCCAAATCTCAAAAATTCCATGATTCGGACATTTTTCTCTTCAATTCTAATGTCTTTCTTATTTTCAGTGAGCAAATATTTTACCAGAAGAAGAAATAAAATCATAACAAAGGTATTTTCATCTTGAAAAAAATGCACGAAAATATACCATTTGGGGACAAGAAGGCCGCCCCATAACCAGTGGTCCTAAGCACAGACTGGAGAGGGCACAAAGAGATCCCCTTGAGGAACTCTAAAGCCCCTGTGCCCAACCACAAGCATCCCTGCTATTGGGCACAGTGATGCAAAAGGATCTCACTTTTAGTTTCAGTTGGAGGGCCCTGTTGGGAGGGACTTTTCAGGAGCCAGAAACACATAGTAGGGCTCTGCCTAATTTGATCTTGCAGGTCTCTGCCCCTGGTGAGCCAACAACCAGGCCCTGAGGAGGAGGCAGGCAGAACCAGGCTTTTGGCGTGGGGGGAGACATCCAGGTCTGCTTGCCTTATGATATCGTCAGGCAATGAATCTGTCTATAGCTTTAATCTTGTCAGGGGCACGGGAGGCTCTTTTTAATCTGAGTCATGATTTTTGAGCCATTTCAAACACTAGAGTGAAAAAGCACTAACACCTTTTGTAGATGAAAACATTTAAATTGTTGAAAGTCTGTTAACTTTCAAAGCATCTCTCTGATACATAGTGATGCTCTTTATTTTTTCAGAAGAATGACAGAGTCCTTAGGTGCCTTTTAGGATTTAAGCATCCATATGGGGTAAGTTGTGGTGACCAGGTTAAGCTTTCAAATGGATGAACGTCTCACCACTGCCTTCTGTCCCCAACCCCGGCAACTGAACAAACTTCACCTATTCTGGAAAAATCCAGGTCTAGGTTGGAAATTGGCTCAGGCAACTAGAGATGCAAAGACCAATTCAGGAGAAAACCAGTCTCAGGGAAAGAAAACTGCTTTTGTTTTTTAACCGGAATATTTTCAGGGCTTTTGCCTAAACTCTGGGCTTTGTTTTATGATAACCACAGTTCCCTGTAACTCAGGAGCACTATAAGCTCAGTTGGTGAAAAATATGAAAACTATAATTATTCTGTTTCATGCTGCAGGTGTATGTGTGCATCTTATTTATGAATACGTGTGCCTGCTTGACCAGCTCTCTGGAAAGGGTAAGAGAAGCAGGCAACACGAACAAATCTGTGTTTGCCTGGTGTAGTGAGCACTGGTGTAATTCAGAAATTCCCGAGTTGGGATCCCAGTTCTGCCTTCAGACCTGTCGTGCCCCCTTGGCCTCGGTCTCCTCTTATATAAAATGAGAACAACACAGTCTACCTTGGGACATTGTGGGCACAAGCAATAGGATTTCTGAAGTGCCTACTGCCGTGCTTTAATCATACTGGTATCAGCAAACAGTGGTTAACATGATTTTGTAAGGTCCATAAATGTGTGTCTTCTCTCCTCACACACAGACCTTCCAGGGAACAAAGATGGTCTCATCCCCCCAGTATCTTCTGCAGCACCTAGGGCTCTGCTTTGGATAGGGGTGCATTTATTGCCTGTTCATTGAAGGACTGCTTGATTAAGTAACTAGAAAACAACCTGGTGAACTCAGTGGATCTGGGACATAAACTCGTCACAGCTAAGGGCCGTGGCACTGAGGGGGCGAGAACTGCTTAGCAGTTCACTTCGGGCTCAGTGGGGGAGACGGAAGCCCCTGCTCTGCAGATGGGCCAGTGAGCCCTGCCAAGCAGGAAAGCCGTCCCTGGGTGCATCTAGTTATGAACAGGAGACCCAGCCTGCTACACACATCCTTCTGTGGAGGCAGAGCTTACACGCCTGTTTTTTAGAAAGGAAAGAAAAAGAAAAAACCACATGTCCTTTAAGAGCAGTGCGATGAAATGGATACAATAAAGGCTTTAATGTCAGGAAGGTCTGTGTTCCAATCCTGACTCAGCCACTTTTTCAGTTGAGCAACTTTGGGCAAATCACTCTCTTGAAGCCTCAGTTCCCCCCATCTGTAAAATGGGGATAATATAAGTTCCTCCAGCCTTGAGTTGCTGTCAAGATTAAAGGAGGCAAGGCACCTGATGTGGTGTCTGAAGCAAGAGCTAATAATCGTACTGACTGGCATGGTTATGATGTTCTCATCTGTCCTCTGTAATTCGCTTTTACTTACTACCTTCAGATAGTACTACTGTATTTGTTAGAATAACACTATAAGCCTGTTTCTGCTCCTCTGCTGTGGTCTTGACACTATGATCCCTTTTTCAACAATAAGAATACCCCCCCCACAATAAAGCCCCCTAAAAACAAGTTGAGCTCCCTTGTTTGTCATCCACCAGCCCCAGTAGCCTTGGGTGCTTCCTGGAAGAGTGATTACCTTGAGAATGGAGGCCCCGCTCCATGACTCCATGCTTGACTTTCATGTGGCGTGTCAGGTTCCCCTTTAGGGTGAATTTGCTTGGGCAGTAGAGACACTTGAAGGGTTTGCTGTCGGAGTGCAGGTGCATGTGGCCCATTAGGTTGTGCATCCGGTTGAATTCCTTCCCACACAGCTGTCAGAAACAATGAAGAGGATGAGACAGGTTACTCATGGAGGTGGGTCCTGCCCAGGTGAACCCACACCTAGGCCTGCATGAGGACGGATGTGCCTTCACTTTGTTTGGATCTTGGCATTTTAAGTGGCCGCCGAGTAGAATGTCCCCAGTGAAGTCAGGGAGGGTCTGGACTGCGCCCAGGCCCAGAGGTGGAGCAGGGAGGGATGGATTCATGGGCTTGTGTTCCTATCGCACAGGGATTTTTCAACTCATGGCAAAACTTGCAAAGCTAGTAAGGCTTCTTTCGAATGCGAGCTGCAGAAAAGGAGAAAAGCTGAGCTGAGAAGCAATTGCTCAAAGTGTGCTTCATTTTAATAATAAGTATATGATTACCTGTTTAATATTTATGGAACGTTTATAACATGGAAGATACTGTCCTAAGTCTACCATGGAATATCACATTTAATTATATCGATCCTATAAGGTGGGTGCTGTATCATCCCCATTTTACAGATGGGCAAACTGAGGGATTAAGGCACTTGGCCAGGGCACAAAGCTAAAGGGTGCTGAAGCTGGGATAATGAACCCAGGCCACTAGACACCAGAGGTCACATGGTCAACCACCACACCATCCTCTGTGCCCTCAATATAACTCTTCTGTTAGACTGTATCATGCAATGCATTTCTAATTTTTTAATTTGCTTATTATTGGAACGGATAGCAAAGTTAGAAGGAACAAAAGAGAGATCTAAAGAAGGAGTGTGTCTTTTTCTCTGGGTAGAGATTTGAAGGCCTGAAAATATTATCTCAGGTGTAAACATGTTTCATTCATTTCTTTCTTTTTTT